GTTTTAAAAAGCATACGTTCATTCTTTTGGAGCCAGGGAGAGGACAGAGGATGGTCCCCCCAGCGGGCAGAGCATACGCCCAGACCCGGCAGTGCCGGATCCTAGACGGGACGTTGTAATTCAACTTGGCTGCAGTGTAGGTGTTGAAGACTAGAAATGCAGGTTGGGCCAGACGATGGAGGGCACCGATGCAAGGCTGGGAGATCTCCACTCCACCCTGTGGTCAGCGAAGGTGGTCACAGCCACAGCCACAACTGTGACAGCCACCCTTATTCGGTTCTTATCACAAGCCAGGCTTTATGCCAAGTGCTTTGCATATATTATCTCAGTTGAGCCACATAACAACGCTATTAGGTTGGCATCACTTCCCCATCTTACAAATGAAGAAACTGAATCTCAGAGAGATAATTTGTTTAGGCTCACACAGCCAGTACCCGGCAGAGCCAGGATTAAACCCGCACACACCTATGATATTATCCCCGCTTTAACTGTGGTAGTTCTAACTTCATTTGCTTTATATGCTGGGGTTCCATATAAGATGTTGCTGGACAAGAATAATACGGGTACCTACTAGGAGTTCAGAAACAATACAGATTGGCCCAGTTTTATTCACAATAGGGAACGGCAGCTGTTATTATTCTGCTATACAACTCCAGTCCGATCACGACCCAGACAGATTCCTGTTTGGAGAACGGATACTCACAACTGCATTCATTTGCTTTCTTCTAACAGGTGAAGAAACGGAAGCTCAGAAGAGTGAGTTGCCTTTCCCATGGGCAGCCCGGGAAGTAACAGCAGAGCCGGCTTTCCCACCCAGTTGTTAAGACTCCAAAGAACTTTTAACCATTTGAATTTGCTGTCTCCGTAAAACAGAAAAAGCCCCCAGGTACTGACGCCCGCCACGTGTAAGACACTGTGTTGAGTGCTTTCCATTCATGTTCTTCTTTAATTCTTAGGACTTTATGCAGTACTGTTATCATGTCCATTTTACAGAAAGGAAAGTAAAACTCAAAGGGGCAAAGCATGGTTGGGTTTAACTTGCTGTTACTGAAGCTTCTCATCAAAGTCCTGAATGACAAAACCAACACTGAGGTCCAAAGTTGTGGATATGTGCGTGAAAGTCTTGTGTGTATCATGATTTTCACAGTAACAGCGTTTGCAGGAGCTCAAAGGTGGAAACTACCTAACCGTCCGTCAAGAAGAGAACGGAAAAACGACAATGTGGTATATCCACCCAGTGGAGCGGTAGGTATCTGGCAGTAAAAATCAGATAGAGCTACAGGTCTCAAGCAGGCTCAGTCTGAAAAACATAATGTTAAGTGAAAAAAAAAAAAACAGGGGCGCCTGGGTGGCGCAGTCGGTTAAGCGTCCAACTTCAGCCAGGTCACGATCTCGCGGTCCGTGAGTTCGAGCCCCGCGTCAGGCTCTGGGCTGATGGCTCAGAGCCTGGAGCCTGTTTCCGATTCTGTGTCTCCCTCTCTCTTTGCCCCTCCCCCGTTCATGCTCTGTCTCTCTCTGTCCCAAAAATAAATAAACGTTGAAAAAAAAAAATTAAAAAAAAAAAAAAAAAAAAAAAAAAAACAAACAAGTCATAAAATGATACCCACGGTGCGAAGCCATTTACGTAAAGCTTAAAAAGCATGTTTGTGGGTATATCCATTTGCAGTAAAAGTGCAAAAAAAAAAAAATAGATGGGAAGGATCTTCATTAACCTGAGGATGGTGTTACCTCGGGGGAAGGAAGAAAATAGGATCAAGGAAGGTACAACCAGGGCTCTATCTCTGTCTGTAATGTTTTAGTTCTTTCCATCTTTTTAAATATTTTACTCTTTCAGGTAATCTCTACATCCAACGTAGGGCTCAAACTCACAACCCTGAGATCAAGAGTCACATGCTCTACCAACCAGCCAGACGGGTGCCCTATAAGGTTTTAGTTCTTAAAACAAGTCTGAAGCAGATAGGTTATGCGAAATGTTAAAATGGATAAAGCTAAGGGAATGCGTATACCAGGCTTTGTTAGTGTGGTTTGTCATATTTTGATGAATGTTTGAAATAGTTCATAATCAAATATTTAAGGGGTGCCTGGGTGGCTCAGGTGGTTGAGTGTCCACCTCTTGATTTCGGCTCAGGTCATGATCCCTGGGTCGTGGGATCGAGCCCTGCGTTGAACTCCATTCTAAGCATGGAGCCTGCTTAAGATTCTGTCTCTCTCTCTCTCCTTCAGTCCCTCTCCCCCACTCACGCACACACACTATCTCTCAAATAAACAGATAAATAAAATAAAATAAAATAAAATAAAATAAAATAAAATAAAATAAAATGTAAAAAAAGGGGGGGTGCCTGAGTGGCTCATCAGTTAAGCATCCAACTTTTTAAATTTTTTTTAATGTTTATTTATTTCTGAGACAGAGACAGAGCATGAGTGGGGGAGGGGCAGAGAGAGAGGGAGACACAGAATCAGAAGCAGGCTCCAAGCTGTCAGCACAGAGCCCGACGCGGGGCTCGAACTCACAAACCGTGAGATCATGACCTGAGCCGAAGTCGGTCGCTCAACCGACTGAGCCACCCAGGTGCCCCAAACACCTAACTCTTGATTTTGGCTCAGTTGATGAGATTGAGCCCCACGTGGGGCTCTGTCCTGACGGCACAGATTCCCTCCCTCCCTCTCTCTCTGCCCCTCCCCTGCCCAATAAATGAACATTAAAAAAAATATTTTACAACTGCGACAGTAAAGCCACCTTATTTCCACCTGCCCAAAGCCATTTCAGCCATGAGGGAATTCTGTGGCTCACCAGCACTCCTCAGGCTACCTCCTCGGCGCACTCCCTCCTGAGAGCCTGGCACACTTCATTACAAACCTCCACAACGATGCACTGAGGGGGCGGCCCCAGAACTTCGACAGATAAAATGTCCTTAGATGCTCCTGAGAAGTGAACACAACAGAACACCCTTGACCATCCTCCCATTGAGACCTCCCACCGCATTTCCTGCTGTCCAACAAATGAACCTACTAGAACATTCCTGAATGCCCCTCCCCCAAACCAGTGACAACCCCAACAAAAGAGAAGCCCTCAGTCCTCTCCCACTGACAGACCCCTCACGCTCCTCATGTAAACCTGAGTCTCCCTTCCACCTGGTGACCTGAGCTAATGGTCCTCAGTGCCCTCTACCGCAGCTGATGGCTTTCACATCTACCCTCTTACCAGCCCCTCCATCACCTATGGGATACCTAGTCACTTCCCAGGAGTTCTGAAAGCCCCTTTTTAGAATGTTAAATCTAATTGAATGTTAAATCAGATCGGGCCACCTTTCCACTTTCGACCCTCCAATGGTTTCCCATGATTTCAGAATAAAACCCGATAGACTTTACCATGATACTCATCTCCTACCTCCCCCCACTCCCTTGCTTACTTTGGTCAGTCGTTCAGTCTCCCTGGAGCTCTTCGAATAGGCCAAGCTTGCTCACTGTGCCTGCACGACTCAATCTTTCCTTGCCCTGATGGCTCACTTCCCTCAGTCCTCGCTGAGGTCTTTCCAGCCTGACCCACCCTACCTAAAGCATCACTTGCCCTTTTGGTCTTTTTTTTTGCGATAGCATCTGTCATTACTAAGGACGTCTTCCACAACGTGTTCTATTTCTATTAGAGTTGCACTCTCCAATGCAGTAGCGACAGGCCACATGTGGCTACAGAGCACCTGAAATGTGATTAACCATAACTGAGATACGGGCCGCACAGCTCATACACATACGCGGAAAACACATACACTGCATTGTAGACATTAGAAGAAAAAAAAGAATAGAAGTACCTCACTAATATTTTTTATATTACTTCCTGAAGCAATATTTTGGATATATTGCATTGAATAAAATACATTAAAATCAATTTCACCTGTTTTTCTTACTTTTTCAAAATTTGGCTACCGGGAAAAAATTTGCCTATGCCTACATCTGGGCATGTGCAATCAAGCCTCCTTGGAGACTGCCAAACAATAACTTCCTTCACCTGTTCTTGCTGACAGGCGCCCCCCCCCCCCCCAAGGTTCCACACGATCCACAATCCTGGCCCTGCCATAATGGCTCAAACACCTCCCACAGCAAGGACCTCCCTTCCCTGCATTCCTGACAGGATGTGTGGTCACAGTGTCCCCGTGACACACTGGGTCAGAGACCCTCCCCTACCATGGCACACCTCATTCCACATCACTCATTCCTAATGTAGCAGCAGGGATCAATGTCCCTCCAGCGGTGCTGACCTGATGAAAAGATCCTTCAGGGCCTCCAAGGATCGG